CGGGGCCGCCGCGGAGCCGCGTCCCGCAGGGAAGGGGGTTCCGAGCTGAGCGCGGCTCCAGCCGCCGCGGCAGTGCTGAGCGCCCGGCGCGTTCCGAGTGCGTGACCGGCTGGACTCGGGGAGCGCTCACTGAGCAAGATTTGTTTTTTCTTATGGTACAACCCAGATAATATAAATATTATTAAAAACAAGCAGACAAAAAGATAGTTTGGAGAAGAAGCCGCGACAAGCCCTGAGTGACCGCCGCGCCCGCAGTGTGCTCGGAAGCGGCCGCGCGCGGTGCGGGGAGCCGCGCGTGGGGCTGCGCGGACCGGTGCCGGGGCACAGCACCGCTTCCCCCCGCCGCCTTTTCGGTTTGTTTTATTTTTGTCCGCAAAGAACTATCCTGTTTCTCTTAGCAATAAAAAAAAAAAAAAAAAGGTTTTGCAAATCACCAAAACTGGGAATCAAAGGCTTAACTGGGAGGCGTTTCGGGCAGTTGGTGCGAATTGTTTTTATTTTTCACTTGCAAAAGGCTAATCAGTTTTCTTTTTGAGTGGGTGATTGTGCTTTCATAGAAATATGGTTGCTTCTCCTGCTCCAAATGAAATCTAAAAGAGTAATTTTCGTTTTAAGATAAAATGGTTTTTTGGCCTTAAAATTGTGCTTATTTTTGTTAATACATCAAGACTTAAAATCCTTGGCTATTTCCTAAATAATCTCAGATGCACTTTACAGTATTTATATACTTATTTTCACAGTTATATTCCAGCTCAATAGATTGTTTTCTCACCGTTTTAATGCTTAAAGCTGTGTTGTCAAGAATTGTCAGTTCTGATGTGAAATTAAGGTTAGCTCACAGGAGCAAGATGTATTGTGTAAAATGCTGATTTATGAAAGTGTTACAATCAGTACATCTAGCAGGTCGAAGTGTATGAAATATTTGACCAAGAATGCATCTGACAGTGTGCATTTAACGCAAAATTTCTATTGTCTTCAAAGGTGAGGGTGCCAGAGATGTAGCGGAGCAGACAGAAGATGCATCTTATGACAAACTCCAGACCCAAGGAGCTGTGACAAAAGCCCCATATGTTCTGGTAACAAACTACTGCAGCTAAAATGCAAAAATCTCACCAAGCTATTTGCTAAAAGCGGTAAGCACCTTGCCCTGCTGAAAAGTGCAAAATACCCCATTGAAACGAAGTAGATGCGTATTCATCCTTTAGAATCTGGTCGACTTTAATGACATCTTGGCCATCAGGTGATGTGCCCGGGCCTGCGCAGTGCTGGTTGAGCTGCTTTTCACGGCCGTTTCTCCCTGAGCAGCCTCAGTTGTTCCTGTGCCCAAGGAGTCTCCCATGGGGAGTTGCTTCCTTCAGGCTCCATTTTGTCATTCCCTGCTCAGTGTGCAGATGGGGTTGCTAGAAGAAATAGCAAGGGCTTTGGTGCTGCTATGAAGGTGATGTCAAAGTTTGCATTTAATCGAATCCACTTGGGGAAATTGAACTATTTAATTGGTGTCTGGTTAAGCTTCAGATATTATATATCTTTTAAATTAAATTTATTTCACATGTACAGCAGCCTTCATAAGCTCACTGAGGCAACCTAACTACAAAACAGTAGTCACAGCCCTGATCCTGTTAAGAAATTCTGTTCAGTCACACTAAGAGAATTGGTAGATGCATCAGCCTGTACTTCACCAAGTTCACTGCAGGACTGTGGGCCCCGTTTGGCCCCTTCGGATACTTTCTTGCAATTTAGTAACCAGATTGCAACTTTAGCAGCCATTACCAAAAACAACACTTTTTTTTTTTTTTTTTACTGAAAAGATTGTGGTGGGTTATGGTAATTGTTTGTTGTTTTGTTCTTCTCTTTGGAATCCCTGCTAGAGATATCTATCCTATCATCTATGTGCATAATATTTGCAATATGGCCTCAAAGAGATGGGAGCTGAAGGCCACTCAGATATTCCAGCTGGTATAGAATACAGCTATGTGTATTTTGTGCCGAGTTGCTCACAAGAAATATACAGCACCTGTGTTTTGTTCTTTGCTCTGGCTCCCATTTAATTTTCAGGTGTGGAAGGAGGGCTTTTTTCTTCTCTCTCTCTCTCTTTTTTTTTTTTTTTTTTTTTTTAACGACTATGCTACTATCTTGGGATCTGCATTTTTTAATAAAAGGTCTTACAATTTTCAAATTAGAGCAACAGTCTTGATTAGGAAGTTAGCACAGGAAATTATGCTCCCTTTCTGTTTGATGAGAGCAGGAGGCGCTGGGTTTCAGCTCTGTCTCCTGTCTTCGTGGTCAAGTCTGGGCTGCATTTATCGCTATTCGGCTTACACTGAAGAGTTTTCCTGGTTTTGCAGACTTTCCCTTGGATGACAATGCTGATTATCTGGCTGGGCTGGACGAGTATAGTGGAAGAAATTAATTTACTTTGTGAGTAATGTTTCTTTTTCTCTGGGAACCAAATTGAATCCAGACTTGTGGGTCTTTTTCCTAATGAATTTAGAACTGTTGGCTGAAATATTTTTAAAGAAATAATTAGACCGACAAACAGGACATATTTTTGTTTATAAGGGTATAGTTGAAATTATTTTACTTAGTAGTGTTGGGATGCTATAACCTCCTTAATGCGAATGCAGCTGTGTGAGCAGGCTAGCATTTTAAACTGATAGTGGGAATGAAAATCCCATTATCTTTATGAAGAGCTCTTTTTTTTTTTTCCCTCCAGACCGTGATGCTACTGCAAAACGTTGCTTGATCACTTTTGTCCATTTCCAGCTGAGCTGGAAACTAAAGGCAGAGCGCGGGCTATAAACGCGTGAGTAACCGGGATGGAAAGGTAAAGCCGCCCAAATCCAAACACGCGGAGCCGGGATGGTGGGAAGCCGCGGGCTGTGCCCGCTGGCAGCGCAGGGCGAGGGGAACAGTCCTGGGGAGACTTTGGCCTCGGCCAGGCGGAGCCCGTGGGCAGCAAAGGGGGCCCGGGCGCTCCTAGTGCCAGGACCGGGTCGGCCCCGCCGAGCCCTGCAGCGGGGCCGGGCCAGTTCTGCCCGCGCCCTGGCGAGCAGGGGCGGGGAGGGCGGGAGGCGCTGGCGGGAGCTGGTTGCTGTGATCGGTCGCCGCCGCATTCAGACTTCTCTCTGTAATTGCGGGGTTTAGTTATTAGCAGGCAGGGCTCTTCCCCTCTGCGCGGCGAGGCCGGAGTCAGTTTTTGAGGCCCGCGCAAGCAGCGCCGAGCGGCGGGGGGACGGGGCCCCCGGGGCTGGCGGCCGGGGCTCCGCGGGCCCTGCTTTTAGCGCCTCCGGCAGCGGCGGAGCCGCCGAGGCTGATGCCACAACGGCCTCGTCGGTAGCGAAAGGGGCATGGGCAGAAGGGAGTGTCTGAGCAGCAAACGCGGCGCTCTGCCCGCCCGTTTAAGGTATTTTAGGTATAAAGAATAAGTGACAGGGCAATCATTTCCCCAACTTGGCTGCTTTCTGATTCGGATGTAAGGGTAAAGTCTTGCTAACAGCTCATGTACCTGTATATTTAATTGCGACCTGGCTGCATGTTCCTACTGAGGAAGGATGCAGATGACAAGTGAATCTATAAGGGAGAAAAACACAGTTGACAAAAACAGGAAAGAAGTAACTGACAGATGAAAAGGCAGTCAGTGCGGAGCTAACTGGCAAACGCATCAGTACAAAGTCATATACCTTCTGAGAGGAGTAGTAGTTTGTTTTATTCCGGCTCTCCAGAGTTTTATCTACTGTCGGTTTGATGGGGGAGAAAGCAGCTAATGCGCCCTGTTTAGGATACAAACATGCAGATTAGATCAGGCTTCTGACACCGCGTTTCACTCAAGACTTAAAACAGTTAGAGGAATAAAACAGACTTCCCCCACTGAGGAAAACGAAAACAGAAAGACACGTTTTTTTCTTATGTTTTAAAGGTTCCCTAAAATTGTTTAAACACGGGCGTTTTCCATGCCCATAGCGGGAGCTACCTGGAGTTCAGTGGATCGATGGCCCCGTCCCCTCGGAGCAGGTTCGTGCGGGAGTCGAGGCCGCTGGTCGCGAGGACAAGAGCCCGGCTCCCGTTCTCTCCACTTTTGTGTTACACTGGCCTCATTGAAATCTTAAAGTAATTACTAGGCGTTTAACTTTTTGCCAGGCTCTTTCATTATGGCTTCGCATTTGCACCTCGCTTTTAAGAGAAGTAATAACATTCACAGTCAGGGGCAAATCCTGTTAATGAACAAATTAAAGTTCAAACAGTTATTCAAGTTCACAGCCCCGCTCGCTGCTCCTTTAATAAGAGTTATACATTTTACTTTCTCTCGGGATCCCCCCCCCCCCCTTTTATTACTTTTTAAGCTTTTCATAAGCACTGACTGGTTATATGGGCTGCTCCCAGCCTCTAAAGAGCCCACAAATCCTGGAGGGAGCCCTAATCCGCCCTTAATTTGGCAACTTTTGTAAAACACATAAAAGCTCGGGTACCACCCTTGTGTGCTCAGATGATTATTATCACAGAGAAAAAAGCCGGGGGAGGACCCCCCCCACCCCTTTTTTTTTCCCCTGCACCCGTATCTTTTGGCTCTCCCCATGGTGCTGAGCAAAAACCTCCACTTTTTTTTCCGCATCTCCGCTTGGAGCTGGGAAGGAGAGGGGAAAAAAA